CTATGCTTGATCTCCCTTTGGTTGTGTGAAACTGCCGTCCCACAGGAGTTTAAGAATGACAGTAGTATAATTTTATAGTAATAAAAGACATATTGAGAATTAATTTTAACTTCCCAACTCGAGTTTTTTCTAACAGAATTTTTTCAATAAAAAATCTTCAATAACTAAATTTTTCCTAACCCGAGACTTGAACCTAGGACCTCCGGATCTGCATTAGTTGTAAATATACAATACTAACAGAACCCGCGACTTCGCTCGCGGTAAAACTACAAAAAAAACATCTAAACTAGTAGGTTTCATACAATCCCTCTTATGGGATGAATTTCGAAAAGTGCTAAAACACGTATTTAATTAATTGTATTGAAGAGCATTTATACCAAGTTTCAAGTAGTTCTGATCATAAATATTTTTTGGATTGTATTATAACGTTTTTTCCCGTGAAAAAAAGATAATCTCCCGCGTTAAAAAGTAGCCTATGTCACTCTCCAGCCTTCCAACTATCTCCACACAAAAACATACACCAATCCGCTAAGCCGTTTCGATATGAAAGAAAGACAAACAAACACACTTTCAAATTTATAATGTTAATTAGTAATTAGTATGAATATACTAGGTGCTTTCACAATCATAGTAAAGTAACACAAGAAACCGAGGTTTCTGTTGACGTATATATATATATTACATATATATATATATATATATTAGTAAAAGTTTATTTAATAAAACATGAGTTTTAGGTTCGATTTCAGTAAAAACTGTTCATATAAAGCATATTGGTTTCCATTTTTAAAAGCTTTTCCTATATCTAAATTGTTAGCATCATTTTGATATAGATTCTATTTATCGTAGCGAATCTAGTGCAACCAAGTCTTTATCGTCTGATTTGCGTACCACCATGCTGTACCGCTTTCGAAAATATGTTACAAAATATTTTATGATCACTACTTCAATTTTCTGTAGAAGTTAACGGTTGGATAATAATGATATTCGAATTATTAATATAAATCATCGCTATAATATCTAAAGCTTAGTGTTAGCTAAATCTAAGCAATATTGTTACTAAATATTTCCTTTTGTTATTAAGTAGTAAATTGGTATAATACAGTAGAAGAAAATACAAATACTCGTAGATGTTACAGATGATATTGCTCGCATAGAATTTAGTAACCTATTAAAGCGGTTCAAACCCCGGGTCTCGCACTTCAAAGATTTTCATGGTCGAATTATATTCAAAGAAATAAAGGAAACAGTGGCGAGGAAAAAAAAGGCTGAGAAAACCTGACTAGTCTGCCAATCTGCACTTGGCCGGCGTGGTGATGAAGAAAAGTACAAAGTTTAGTTATGTAAGCTGTAAAGCTAGAAACTCTTAATTTTCTTATTCAATCCATTCAAACCAACGAACTGACAGCTTCTATATACACAGTGACAAACAAACTGGCGTATAATTTATGTAGTATAGTTAATAGTGCACTAGGCATGTCCGTCACAAGTAAGCCGCAAGCCCGCACGTGACTTATGCGAGACGTGACGTCACTACCTGTCCACTGCAACTGCAATGTTACGAGGTACACGGAACTTTCGTTTTGAGCTTTAAAGCTTTTAAATGATTTGTGCTTTTGATTATGATTCATGTTGTATCACGTACATGTGTCTGTCGATTCATGATATAAGTAACAACTTTTAAGAATACGTTTCTCTTATTAGAATAGATATTATATTATGTTGGACACAAAAAGATGTCTAAAAATTTTATTTTTTCTTACTTTTTTAGGCGGTCTACAAGAATGTTAGAAATAATGTCTTACAGATAACCCAGATGAGAAAATGGTTAAAGGATTTGTGAAACCGTAGACAGAACGGTCTAAGTCTTTTATAGGTATAGATTTAATACACCTTGTCAAAAAAGTGCACACTTACAACAAGTTTCTGTGATAGCAAGTAGAGTGCACATTAATTACGAAAGCTAATTAATGTAAAGAACATGTAAGAACAAGTTAGAAAGTTTCAAGTTAATTTAATCGTATAGAACATTTTACGATTTTGTTACTTTGATTTTAACTGCAGATTAGATACTTGTTGTAGCCTAATGTTTCGACTACTTTGTAAGAGTGATTGATTTAAAATCAATTATTAGTTTTTTATTCATTAAAACACATTGTATTATGCATTATGTAAGACATTGTTATAAAGACAGACACACAAAAATTCCATTTTATAGGTATATATTTTTATATTTATTTTATACTAATTATAATGTTTTATCCCTTGACTTGACTCTTGACCCGATCTGGAACTGAAACTCAGGACTGACGGATCTGAACTATCTGTCATATAATAAAATTGTAACTAAGGCGAATCTGTACATTAAATATTTTTTTGGAAAATCTCATTGAAATAGTCATTATTATCGATACAGAGACCGAGTTAAATTTTTTTTGTCATCTTGTAATTTCTGTCTGCTTGTACATTCTTAAAATGTAAAGAAATGCTCTGATTAATGTCCTAATTCCGAAAAATGGAACTATTCAATTCAAATTCAATATATTTTATTCAGCGTTAAATTATTACATTTTTTTACTGAACGTCATGAGTTCAACCAGTTCGGAAAGAAGAAGCCTCAGACCTGAGAAGAACTGGCGAAAAAAACTTATCAACAGCAATCAACAATCAGCATGCTAGATGATGGCAGGAACTTGTACGCCGCCTCCGGCCAACGTAGACAACCTCGTTCTCTGTAGTACTAATACTACTACTACTACTGTTCTTAATTATAAAACGTACCTATTTGTTTGTTTCTTCAATATCAAAAAAGCTAAAGGCCTCAATTTATCGTACTTAAATTTGGCTTTAACCAATGCTATTAGGGAAGACATAGAATTTATGAAAATAACTGTAATTGTTGGATAACTATTTAATCAATTAGTTTCTGCTCGCGGCTCCTCTCGCGTTATGATCTTATATTTATAGCCTATTACTTCCCTAACTCCTACTACACCTCATGTGCATGTAAAAAGATCTTGTACTGGTATTTTCAAAGATTTGTACTCTGACAAACAAATAAACAAACAAACAAGGAAACAAGCTCTTTTGTTTTTTTAATTAGTGTACATATTAGTTAGTGTAGATTTAAAGTACTAAAGAGTATTAACTAATATGGTCCAAGTTATGTGGGGTGGTTATTTCCATTATCCCATTATTATTATAAATGCCAAAGTTTGGATGGATGTTTGTTACTGAATCACGCCAGAACGGCTGAACAGATCTGGACGAAATTTGGCACAGAGATAGATTATAGTCTGGAATAGCATATAGGTTTCTTTTTATCCCGGAAAAATATTGTTTTTCACTAGTAACTAATAAGTAAATAAATAAAACTCACGTTTTCAAACCACTTTCTTTATTTCGTGTTCATTTTAATACAACATACAAGTAAATTTATCATCAGATATTATTTATCAATTCTTATTTCTAACTTACGTTACCTGAATAACAAATATGTTAGAGTATCTTCCCGAAGCATGGGGCGATGGGGAACTTAGAAATGGTAGTCTAACCCACACTTTCAAAATTAACAAATACAATTATGGAATGTATCAAATCAAATCCAGTGTAAACTCTAACACCATGTTGAGCCAATGAAGGAACTCGTTTGATAATGGTGGTAATAAGTATAGACAATGGACGTGTCATAGCGCTTTGTTTATACATAGGTACATATATAATATATTATACTGAAACGTTTCTATTAATTCTCATTAGTTTATAATATATAGATTATTTTTATTTAATTAAATAATTTAATGAAATAAAAATAACTATTTAATCAAAGAATTGTACATATAAATACTGTTGCATACTTGGAAATGTACATAAATAAATAACAATAAATAAATGAGATTTTTAACATAATATTTTGTGTAGCTAAGTTTTTTTATGTATATTCCTAGTATAATTATATAGCATTACCATTTTTCAGTATTAGGTATAGAATGTCAATTATTATTATAAAAATATTTCAAACAGATACGATACTCCAACATTCGGCTCAACATTATAAATAAATTAGTGGTCATAAAATTAAATACAAGCAAAAAAAATCACGGGAACAATCAAATCAACTACAATCGGAAGAAGAAAATTATCAACTAAATCAAAATTATGAAACAAAACCTTAATATTACTTATTACATAAACCGCAAACAAGTGGTAAATTTCAATGTCCCTTTTATAAACATAAGTTCCTCAAATTGGGATCACGATAACTAAAATTTTTCTCCTAATCACTTGAAGGAAAACAAAATAAAATTATTGTTTTTTTGTTTCAAAAAACGATTTAAAAATTTTATTTGTCCCATCACACTTTTGAGAATCGCCTCCTTTAATTATCGTGATCGGATAAATACGTTATGATAAATAGAATAAATAGTCAGTGTTTGGTAAATTATAACTCATCGGATAAAACTGTAATGGACCACGTAAAATACTTTTAGGATTTAAGTACAAGATAAAGGTCCATTAGTCAAAATTCATATTTAAAAATGGTTGTGATGTGGTCCATTTAAATTGCTGTAACAGCTGAAATAATCGTTAAAGAAAAACATTGACATCCAGTGTCGCTCGTGACTAGAGAATGAAGCATTAACTTCGACAAAACACAATTATCGTAATACATTATAAAATTACCAATAGATACACTCAACTTATCATCGAACTAAACTTGTAGCGACAAACGGCAAGACACAAAATGTCGTGACACTCCAATTATTACAAAATTGTCAGGTATCACAGACAAATTTACTTTGATATCCTCTTGCTAATAGCCACCGCTACAAGCTGGACTTAACCAAATTTCACTGACTAGCTTTTATTAATTAAGTTATAATAAATAATAATAAATTAGAATTTAACAATTCAAAAAACCACGTTTTAATTTTCATTGTTTATGAAACTGTAACATTAAATAAGACAGATATAAAGATATAAAGTGGGTTTGACGTGAGATGTGCATTAAAGGCGGAAACAGGTGAATTCATTTGGTACGAAGACCGGCAGAACTGTCGAGTACAATCTAACGTAACATGAACACTAAACAACTAAATCATTTGCCACGATTTGTCTCTCCATCAATTCTGAGTTTCTAAACCATGTCAGTATTGGCCAATTATGAAATAGACTTCGTTCTACATAAAGACTCAATCGTGGCAACGATATATTTATACCACACGTTAAATTTAAATCCTACACAGATATAAACCTTAAGTATCGATTAGCATTCAAGTTCATTATGAAAAAATATATCATTGGAAATATTCTTCAACTTCTCTCTTAATCTCATACCACTCAAGAACAACTTAATTATGCATGTGACAACCGATTTTTATAACTACACGTTTACCCCTAACAACACTTTGGCAACAAATAGTATTTTTCTTTTTTTTCCATCAATTTCAACAGTAACGCCAACATATTTAAAGTTAACATTACCATGGGTTATTTTATCTTCACCGATCTTTCTTCGTGTTTTACCATCGTCATTTGAAATAGAAGACAGAAAGTCGACAGAAGACGTACATGACACAGCTCAGATGACGAGATAAATTTTCCATTACTCAAATTTGGCTAACGATTTACGTAAATACACTACCGAATTCACTTCGTCATCTGAAAACTGATAAGTGAAATGATAGTGGTAAATAACCAATGCAAAACAATTACAGGATTAGGTTGTCTTTTTTTTTGGTATTTTTTTTATTTTTCTGCGATCAGTCTTAAAATTGAGTCATACAATCTAAGTAAGAAATTATGAACCCTTAAATTTACCTTAAATCATCACTAGGCCTGAACTAGCACGGAGTGTGCGTGAGGTTTCAGTGGTAAACTGTAATTTGAAAATAAGAATAGCTATTTCAAGGATAGAAGAGGCAGAAGGATAGAGTACGCTAGTGTAGATGACGATTACACATGATCTTTAAACAATTGTATTAAATTTTCGTCATATCAAAACCGTACTCATTCATATTGTTTTGATGTTGTCCACATTGCTCATACATTTTACAATTAAAACGTGAAATAGGAAAGATTAACTGTCTAAGGAAAAGGCTTCTTCACTAGTAAGGCTCTCGGGGAAACTAATTATACCATCCTTAATACATACATTATTGGTTTTAGAGTAATCAACATTGAATAGTTTTTTATAATTATCTTAACACTAAAGAGTACAAAAAATAAAGGAAATATTACGAATATATGAAAAACAACAAGTTATCAGCGAATACCATCGCATTTCTTATAAGAACAACATTGTTTTTGTTTCAGTAACATTAAATGTATTATACTCACTTATGACATAGAGATGAGAAAACAGATCATCTAGACGATGACACTCAACAAGCCCGCGAAGGCTTCGGTGAATTTTGGAAAACCCCTCAATTCTTGGAGTATCCAAAAGTACCCATTACCGAATTTAATTGTTTATCTACAATACAAGATCGTTTCCCTTCGATTATCCTCAATGTATCAAAAATATCTGCTAAAACAGCCCTTTCCCTTAGAGAAAACTCGATAGAGTATATTTTGAACAGTCTCGAAGTAACTAATGTAGGTAACAATTATCAAGTGTTGGGGATATGCACGAATCGAAGTATTGAAATCAACGACTTACATTATTTAGGATGTAGTTACAGCTACACAGACCGCTACGGCAACATCTAATCTATACATGGGCTACTACAATAATTACCTTACGTTACATGTTATGCATGAATGTGAAACATAGAAGTACTTAAGTCTGTACAAAATTCAACTGAGTTTTTATATTTTTTATCAAAGGAATAAAACATCCTTTCAAATATAAGGCCACGGCGCAATATGGTGTTTCAGTAGTACATATAGTAAATATTACTGAGTTACATTTACCTTTTACAGATGCCATTATTCTAATGACGGGCCTTATGTACAGTGTTGAAGCTCTCGGTGCTCGCGAACGCACGAATCTCTTTCGGCTATCGAAGAATCGTGCAAATGAAAGTGCTTGGAGTTTTAGTGAAACAGCGTCTTACCCTATCGTGACTAGTTGAGAGCACGGGTTGAGTTCTACCGATACATTTGTAAAAAATATCGTGACAGACTGTTCAAAGCTCAAGGTGTCTTAAACACTAATCTAACATAGACAATGCAATATCTAAAAATACACACTACACCGTACGCTAAGTAGGATATAATATAAATTTAGTTCATAAGCATTGTGTCTTTATCATATTCTGGCAGGATGGCATTAATTATGTGTGTAAAATCGAATTATGTGGACAATTTAAGCATCGTATAACTAAGTTTAAACTTACGTGCATACACATATTACGATAACATTTAATTACCTAAAAGCGACTTCTTTGGCGACTAGCTTCAATGAGAAAGATTCCAAATTGTCTATCCACCGCACCTTCGTTCAATCAACACACTATTAAAATCATTTCCTAACGAAACCCGAATTTGGACTATTAATTTAGTATATCAATGACACCACTATGTGGATGATATGTCAAGTTTCAACGTATGAAACAATTCTCTATTAAACCTTTAACTTTCAACATCAGAAACTGTCATATTGTCTGTAGGTCGAACTAAAACAGCGCTATACATTATTTCACTAACCATTTCCTACTCTCGCCTATACCTTTTAATTATAGAAACATTACTTTGATATGTCATTTACTATACCGTCTCCCCAGCTTCATTTGGAATCTTTCCGCGTATAAAAACTTTATTGATAACTAAAATCACACACCCTTACGATTATACATATTAAATTACCTAACACACTTTGAGAAATGAATCTTGAAATGGAACGTACATCTCGAGCCTCTCATCTGTTGCCGCGAGCCTTCGAGTGCGGTGAACAGACGAGCGACTCTATGAAGAGTATAACGAACTACGGACTGCCATAAAACTAGAAGGGGACAAGAACTCAGAATAAGTTAATCTAAATCTAAGTACAATAATTTAGTAGAATTCATATCATTTATAAATACGTTAAGATAATATCCAAATCTTCGTTTTTAAGAATTACTGGAAAATAAATACTATTTATTTGCAAACGTCTCAACTAACATAAGCGATAGTAAAATATTTTTATTTTTTTTTATAATAAAATGTATCATAAATTCAAACGTGAGTCAATCAAAACATTCAGCGTAGTTATCTTTGAGGATGGAAGGTTTGTGCTTATATGTGCTTTGTTTCTTTCACCTTAACTTACAACAATCACAATTTCGACAATTTGCGTAGAAACGGAAGCAACTTTGCTTTTCGGAACCTAGATCTAGCATCTAAGACTGCTTCGAGCCCCGCGTCTACATCGCGGATGCAACTTTGTTCCGCTTTACACAATGTCCGAGAATTCTAAAAACTCAACTTCAGTCATTAAATGCAGTAAATCATTGCATGCATCACGTTTAAGAAAATATCTCAAAAATTAAGTGAAACACCAACGTTCTGTGCACAATTCACTAAATTATATATCGATTAGCGAATTAATTAAATTCAACAATGATACAACATCGCCGCTTAATATAATTTCTTAGAAGCGATGATAGAAAATATTGTAAATTATCAAAATACAATGAGAAAACTAATGCAATTCCTGAGCAATTGATCGTGTTTGCGACGGCGGTACATTCAGTGACACAACCGCGTGAGTCACTAGTATTGAATAATGTGAGCGGCGATAAATCGTTCCTGGTTTAAGAATCTGGGGTCAAATATTTGAATCACTGGATATACGCCGCCAGCCTGTGACAATCGGAGTCCGAACGAACGTAGAAGCGAAAATGTTATTTACAAATCCGTATAATACATCAACGTATCGTTAAGTTCTATAAAATTCAACGACGCTCTACTAAGTAATATAATAAGTGACCAAATTGTCAACCACATACAATCTGACAAGCTAACATTGATACATTACTTCTACCATGATGAATACATTAACAGGTGAATTTATAACTGTTACGAAATTATCGATTTCAAACAATATTTTAAGAGTATAGCTATCGATATGATTACTGTTAATCCTTAAGAAGATACTAATCCTTCCGAGTTAATATTTCACACCTTACTTTTCAACAAATCGAGCCTTGTCCAAACGTTTGCAATCGCTCATATATACCTTCGCTTCTAAATAACATATTAGAAATATCTATCATTGAATCATAATTTTCATTATAAAAATACACACTTTTTCATGTTTATTCAATTTGTGAATTGATTATTCGACCATCTCCATCTTGTACACGTCCCGGCATTCCTTATACTTAAAAAATACAACTACTAACGTAGTTAATCTAAATATATTTACATTTTATACACTTCCTGTGGGATTTCAGTTGCATAGGTAATTTTGCCAAATGAAAAAAAGGTAATGATGGGGCTAGGTAAAAGCTTGAAATTTCATCAATGATCATTGCAGACCACTAGGCCTAACTGTTAATATGCGATCTTCCGCCATTTATTCTTTAAGCAAAATTTGTTACAGAAATTCGGAAAGTTAAAAGCTCTTGGGCGATCGAAAATTCACAATTAGACCTTATCATGATAATGATTACTACCGATACCGTAGGCAAGGCAAGAAGATGAAGGTTCGAACACAACAAGGAGAGGAAACAGCAGCATTAACTTTGGATGTCGATTAGAGAATGGCCGGCTGCAGAAACAGATTTTCATATTTAATAATCGCCAATATTTAGATAAAATATTCGTTGATGATTTCACTGAAGTATATAAACAAATCTGAGTGACAAGTCTTAATTTTAATCTTAAGAAATTTGCTGAGTATAAAATTATAAACAATATTGTAAGCCTAACTCGTGCTTACGTTACACTAATAGGTGCTAGTAAGTAGTAAAATGTTCCCTAGAGTAATTGACTTGGAAATAGTGTTTTATTAGGTTAGCGATTTATTTAACCTTAGAAGCAGTGCTGCTGAAGGGAAATGGAAAATTGGATCCGTTAAGTCCTAGATCGGTCTCAGCTACTCGTAAAAAAGTAAAGCTTAGTCGGGATATTAAAGTTACTTATTTTAGAATACAATTAGATCTTAACTCGTAGAATTATAGCCTACATTCATAAGAATATGTAGTTTAGAAAAATTGCGTGTGAAATTATGATGATTACCGCCTATCCACTGAGATCAGCTCCATTGTTCAATGTACTAAATTTCGTTTTTAAAATTCGTTGATTAAGCAATTCTCTGTACTGTGCAATAAAACACTACTGGGAGCAATTTTAGGCAAGTGCCTCTCTAAGGTGTGTATTAAATCTAAAGCAATACTTACAAATCTCATGCCAACATTTGTTCCCCAACACCAACTGTTTCAAATGAAATCTTATAAAAATGCACACACACGTGAATCCATAAATTTTCACACACACATAAAATCTATCACCACACTCATGTTTGTGCTAGAGAATCCTTCGAAAATTTTCCAAAGTATTTCATAGAAGCCGTTTTAAATGTATTTGTATTATAGCGTAGAAGCGGATTTATTGATAATATCAAGAACTTTAAGGCACAGACTGTTTAGGCGATCGTTATACGATTCAAAAGCACAAACTTCATCCATCAGTCAAAACTAATTTAGTAAAACCAAATTAGTCTTCACCGAAACACTACACTACTCGGGCAGATAAAAAAAAAATAAAACACACTGTAAAACTGCAATGAACTGGTATTATTATAAAAAAGCAATTATACAACAAAAATAAATCAAAACAAAACGACGTACATTAATTTAAAGAACAATTGTTTATACAAATAATTAAAAAAATATAATAATTATAACAACAAACATCGACAAAATATATTTAAAGACAAAACATGTTTCAAATTTAATCAGTCCTCAGCTTTAGAAATGCAATTTTATGAATGAATTGTTTTCCACTAAAATCATTACTTATATGTATTATGCGAAATAAAAAAAATAATTGTAAACGAAATTAAATTGAACAAAAAAAAACTTAAATAATTTCAGGATAATTAACTCATTGTTAAATGACAAGTAAATAGTATGGATTACACAGATTTTACCATAAATGTGAAAGAATAGTTGTCATAATTTGCATAATCTTACATAAAATTTTGATACACTATACTATAGGTACTTAATATAAATATAATACGTTGAAAATTTCAATTAAGTAGAAGCGTATGTTTAAACCAAAATTATCATTTCGTTGAAATTACAATACGATCTGCAATTTTCAAAGAAAGACATTTTGGGCGGTAAATTCTAAGTAATCAAAGCCCAAATGTTTCTAGCATGACGTCAGATTTTAAGGGCGATCGATGTAAATAGGTTTTAAAATAATCGTAGACACCGTAATACTTAAAAGATATAAGCTAGTCTTACGCCCAAAAAATCTGAAGCGAAGCGGACATTGCGATTTCAAAACTCAATCATTTTACACTCAATTTACTTTATAATTACAGTAGATTAAGTGAAATACAATATGTATCCGATCTTACAAAAGATAATAATTTATTAGGAACAGGACAGTCTATATATAAAATCATTGGTGATTGATTCATCACTGAAATTTGGATACTAAGGTCTGGATATTAATTCTACTTCACCTAATCTAATGCACTACGATTTTGATGGAACCTATCGAAGACACGTCAATATGACTGGCTCCCTGCTAGCACCGTGGGTTGCAAAATGCAGAAGAATTAATTATAAATTCATTAAAAAAAACTTGATCTTAAACTTTCTATGGTTAGTGCAAATGTAGTCGACATTATTAAACTTAGATGCTATTGAAATTCAATATAGAAAATAAAACAGTAACAGTAAATTCATCAGTCATGCAAGTTGATAAAATTCATTGCGTTAAGTCAACTATAATGCACTAACATGTAGAAGTGACGAAACCATTGAAGATTGTAAGTTTACTTATGATTAAATTGAATATATCAGGAGTTTATGGTACATATTTACAAACAACACTAAATATCACTTATTAAATCACAACATGGTTTTATGGCACATGTTACGCAGGTATGCAAACGAACGATGGTGCGAGCAGGTACGATCATCCCGTGACGTGGCTTCAATGTATTTTCATGTAATTATATAAATGAGATAATTTAATAATAAGGGTATCACCACATTGTAACGCATAAACTAAATGTAAACTTATGCAGATCGATAATTAATTAAACGTTCTCAAACTCGGAGCGATGGCTCGTTTCAGATCTTTATTGTCATAGATTCAGCAAATAAAAAAATACTAAAATCATTATTCACTAAGAAAATCAAAACTAATGAAATCGAACTAAAATAATTCTGCTAACACACTCAAACACACGGTAATGTAATAAAAAATAATAATAGCATAATATTTATAAAATACAAAGGAAGTAAACGACACATGCACCGTATAATACTACTGCTACAAAAAATAAAATTGTTTTCATATAAAAAATATCTTACCAGAATAACAAATTGTATAATTATTTTGTATGTCGAGCAAGCTATAATAGTCCAGTAAGTAGCAAAACGCAAACGCGCAAACACATGGTGCTCTTTTAAAATCTCAGAAAAAATATCAGTAATAAAAAAGTCTAGCGAGACGACCATTTGCTAAAGTGCTCTACTAGTTACTACCGTGTCCAATTACTAGTAAAAAAACATTCAAATACCTACTTAGATTTGTATAAAAACGAATAATATTATAATCAACCAAAGTTACTAATCGTTAAAATAAAACAACGAAATTGAGGAATTATGGGTTCGTGGGCTCTCAGTGACTAGGCGGTATGACGTCAACGGTCGAGATGCAGGAAACTGTCTTCCAACAATTATCCAATAATTCAAGAATAAAAAACTACAACCAACTCTATTCGTTACTCTAAAATGCTTTATAATACTCAAGGTTATATGTAGTCAAAAGACCGGCGAAACTTAAACGTATATTTGAAACTGACTGAGGTCTATAAAACATTTTCGATCACTTGCCATCTTGTGATGAATGTAATTTGGTTTTCAAGTCAACAATAAGGCTTCAGTAGGTCCACTATTGAGCCTATCGCTGCACATGCCTAAGGAACGCCGCAGTCAACTTTGTCATTGATAAAACCCCTAACATCACGTTTCCCTAAATTTTGTAACTACATTAAAAGGGGTAGTAACTAAAGATTGTCCATATCAGCTCAATCAATTTAACACTTACCTAATAATAATGTAACAACTTCTTAGTTTCATAATCATGTTTTTCATCGACACAGAATAAGTGCTAATTAAAAACAGGAAGTGCCATTGTGCCGAAGAATAGACTTAAAACTAACAACAATACCGCTCGATGCTCTCTTATTATAATAAAATCACACGCTTAACGCCTAACAATTTTAAGTAATAATAGTTAAAATATTGGTCCAACAAATGGGCTAAATAATACAAACGCCCTTAATATTCATCCCTAATTTAACGATGTGGGATATGAAAAAATATTATTTAATAGATCAAAAAATGATAAGGGTCGAGAACCTTTCGTTTTACTGGATCGAACTAACGGAATAATCTCTATTCTTCAAATAGGTACTCATATAACAATGTCAATACTACAACTAATCTCATTACAGTTTTGTTTACGAATAATTGCTTCGGAGATCTCACGCCAAAATATAGGATTGCCGTAGTTTGATTGATCACATCGAGACAGCCACAATCATTGTAACACTTGCACTTACGTAACCTTATAGTTCAAACTGTCAACGAATCATCACTTCACCTATTTAAAAATTGACACCAATGGCCAGAACCGTTTTAAATTGTCAGTTAGTTTATTTACGTTTTGAAGTGTCGATTTTTGGCTTATACTTCGTCGGTCAATTCGATCTTTTGTGATCAGAACGGGAGGCTCACATGCCTATAGGCGGAACTTGTACATAGCGATAGATGTAAAGCCGGTAATCTTTGCTGGCAAGCACCACTGAACCGTCATCCATAAGCGCTACGTCAAAACACTGTGCGTGTTTCACTTTACTTTCTAGCGCCGACACCAGTTGGCCATCTTGTGTAAATATTGTCAAATTAAAGTTATTATGATTATCTGCAATAAGGATTTCTCCAGAAGCATTGATACCCACACCGATAGGGTAGTTAGTTACTCCTTCACCACCGATTTGACGTAAGTAGATACCCTCATAATTAAATACTTTTACACAGTGCGCACGGTTGTCGCTAATAAATATTTCTTGTTTGTCGTTTACCACGACACCGTTAGGAAATTCAAGGTGTTTTGAACAGCCGAACTTTTGCAAGACATTGCCAACTTGATCAAAGATGATTACGCGCATTACCTTGCATTCAACAACAACAATTCTCCCTTTATTGTCGACTGTGACTCCACGTGGATGTTGAAGAATGTTTGCACCGAATTTTCGAACAAACTGACCGTATTGATTGTAGATTTGTATTTGATGTGTTGGTGATCTTTCTGTCACAATAATGTCACCAGATGTTCGGACTACGGCTACTCTGTTGGGGTATAGAAGTTGGCCGTCGCGTTTGCCACATTCGCCAAATTGAAATTTAAATCGGCCTTCCTTATCGAATATCTGAATTCTGTGATTATTAGTATCAGCGACGATAATATCATTTTGAGCATTAACAGCGACACCGCTAGGCTCCGTGAATTGGCCTTCCATCACACCAAATTCTCCAAACTTGCAGTGATAAATCATCTTTTGTCGTTTAATTTGTGATTTTGGCGGGAAAATGGCAGTGGAAATCAATTTGTTTGTCAAGTCAAGGATAGGATCAGTATGTGCGGCAGTCGTAAGTGAGTAAGGATCAGTAGTAGCGGGTGGAAAAAGTGAATCGCAACCACCGTTCGACCATTTCTCGTAAGGATTAATTCCGTTTAAATTCATATCGCCAAGAGTGGTTGAGAAAGGACCAAGAGTATTGGCACTATTAAATCTCTTTGAGATGATATTTGAATCAAATGGAGAAGTTGATTGGCTTGTGGGACCTAATAATCCATTTGTATATGGGCGATCTAGGACTCCATTCAGTCCTGTGGGTAGATGAATGCCACCGTTAAGGCTGCCAGAACTTCCATTTACACTGCTACTACTTGAAGACGAACCTCCGTTTAAGAGTGAACCATTTGTCGGGCGCGCTATTGGTGGTTGCTTAGTTGGGCCAACATTCGCTTCTGAACTCGAGCGTACATATCCAAATGTGTTTCTCACGCCAACTTGTATCGCTTGATAGTTGGAAACAAATTCTAGTTCACATGCAGTTTGAACACTTTGCTCCGGGTTAGTGCTCATCAAAGACTGTAATTTGGTGTCTAAAAGTTTTCTAAACATTAAAATTTCAGCGATATTTGCGCATTTCGTCAATCGTTCGACAAAGTCGCACGTTTGATAGATTTTATCAACTGTTTCTTGAGCTTTTTGCCCGACCACAGTCAAAGCAATTTGTTTAGTAGAAAATACGCTTTCGAGCTCTTTTAATAACTCTTGTTTACGTTCTTCAAGCATTGATCGATAGAATTGGAAAGTATCATTAATTTCATTTTGAGCTTTATGGTATTGTACTTGTAATTTTCCCGCAGCATGCTCTACGGTTTTAACAACATGCCTTATTTCAGTGGCTCTAGTTTTTGCTTCATTAACAGCTTGTTGCATAAGTTCTAATTGTTTTGGACCTGCATCCGAAAGGTGTTCACAGTCATGTAAAGCTGCAGGATGTTCAATGATTGTGCATTCCTTGCACACTGGGACAGAACAGGTACGGCAGAAATATTTGAGAATGTCATTTTTGTGTCTGGGACAAAATGCAGTTTTGTCTCCACTTGTAGTTAATGTTGATCCAAGCATACCTTTGTCGTCTTTTAGGTCTGTGAAGGCTAAAACTCGGTGGCCTTCAAAGCAATGCATGAATTGGTGTGCCATGACGCAGTTGGGGCAAAGAAAGTTAGCACAATCAACACAACGCGCTACAGCGTCTGATTCTTTTGATTTGCAGCCGGTACAGCGGGCTGAGGGTGAGCTAGTTTGACGAGCTGAAGGTAGAAGGTCAGCGTCTTGTTCTACGGCTGCAGCAATAACAAGGTTTGTTAATAATCCAGGTACACCAGCAGGTGGCAATTGGCTGTCTACACGACAAGTAACGCAGGTGACTTTATCGGGGTGAGTTTGTTCTCTCTCAAGGCACCCACGACAAAATGTGTGGAAGCAGTTGAGCACTTTAGGGTCGACGAATGTTTCTCGGCAGATTGCGCAGGTGGTATCGAGGCCGTCGAACTCACGAAGGTCACATACGGCGGAATCACTCGCAGGGGGTGAGGATCCGCTCAAAGTCAAGGGCGATAAGGAGCCACGCTCTAGCGAACCTATAGAGTTGGCACCGGGCAGCGACTCAAGGGACGGGGTGCGTGAGGCCATCTTCAGGAAACCAGCATCCCTGGAAAGAGAGAATACACAGATTAAATTTCAACTGTACATACGTATACTATAACTACATAAATCTGTAATATATTATTCTGTAAAAAATGTGACGTAACTTAATGTATACCCGTAATCGCTATTTATCAAGAAGCAAAAGGCAAAATTATATTAACATGTGACATAATTCAACGCATTCATTGTAATAAGTGTCAACAAAATGTATTATACGATCTTAATACTCTTAAATGTTTTTCAACATCCAAGAAACGTGGCGGCTATAAACATAAGACGAAAAAATATACTTCATTTTGCTACACGCTCAAGAACTTATTATAACACATAATATCTATACGGTGATAAAATAAATAATATTTCGAGGTGTATAGTCGTGTCGTGTTAAGGAAAAATAGGATCTTAAATATACTGCGAAATCCTGAACGTATGTGAGAGATGCACACTGGAATATTAACAATTGGAAGTTATTATAGAAGGGGTGTATCAAAAAAAACTTTAATATTGGGTTCTGTAGTTTTGCCATGTCCTATGAAAAAATATATCTAATGGCAAATTCAATAAGATAAATATATACAATTATTAGTTTAACAGTTAGTATGGAATAGATAGACTATATATTATATAATATATAGCCTATAGCCTTCTTCAATAAACAGGCTATTAGATAGCAAAAAGAATTTTTCATATCGGATGAGTAGTTCCTGAGATTAGCGCGTTCAATCAAACAAACTCTGCTTGTTTATAATATTAGTATAGATTATTTTTACTATTTACATGTATTTACATATAAGTGGGTTTGTATTTTAGATTTTTTTGATATTATTTGTTGTGTATTTGCTAAATGTAAAGTTGTTAGTGAATCTAATAAAGAGAGAAAGAGAGAGAGAAAAAAAGTACAAAGAAGCTCGATAATAATAAAATTATCGATATTACAAAAACATACTTTGTGTTTATCCCTATTCACAAGCAAAGCGCCTCAAGAGTTCCGTCTGAGTGTTATCTCGTAACATAACATGTGGTAAATAATATTTCTTACGAAGAGGAAGTAAAGTATCCATTTTCAGTATATTTCTACTAAGATGACACACGAATATTATTTATTAAGAATTTTTACAATATTCTATCCGTGAATCGAAATAGCTTCACGCTTTGGAATACGAATCTACTGTAATAGTGTTTAATGTGAAAATAAAACTCATCTCGAAATGTTCTGTATGCGGAAGGAACGTCGTTCATGTAATAAAAAAGGTAGGAAGATACTTAAAAATCGTGATAGAAGTTTGGAAAATATGAATAAATTCAGATTTTTAATATAAATATCCAAAATAACAATACTAATATGAATATGTAAGTGTGTATGTTTGTTACACTTTTGTTTATATTGCTTTAGAAGCACATAGGTTTCGCTCGCGTAATAGAATTTGCCAATAGATGACGCTGCTTGTATATTTTCACTTAAATATCATCGAGTGATATATCTAGTTGGTTATAACACAATAATGTATTTAAGACAACAAATATAATATTATATTTAAAATGCACATTTTATTTAAAGTATAACTCCAATATTTCCAGCTAGCAACTTACTTTCGCTTCGCTCGGGTGCGTCCCTAGGTAAGTTTTAGTTTTTTTGAGCGGAACCCTAATTCTTTTTCTAAAATAAAAGTAGCCTAAGTTACTCCTTATAACATCAAATATCTGCCAGTGAAAGTCCCATCAAAATCAGTCCAACCGTTTCGGAGATTAGCCGGAACGAACAGACAGACAGAAAGTACCGTATATAATTTCAAACGTAATTACAAGTAAAAAGCTGTTATTTTGAAATTACAAACAGACACTTCGTTCAAATTTTATTTATCTATATATAGATTCGTATAAAGTGCTATAAATTTCTTATTTTAAATTCTCAGTAGTAGTAGCGAAGCTAAGAAACGCACAGGGAGGTTGCCCATGAGTCCCACACGTCGTGCGTAAATGCATTTCCCAACGTTAAAAAAAAAAAGTTTCAATCTCAAATGGAACTAAATCATTTTGCCGTGCGGCCGGTAAGTGATACACCGTAAATGCATTTTAGAGCATGGCCTCGTGAGCTTCGAATATACTTCATAAATTTTATGTACCAATACACTGTATGGATATGTTCGTTTATACATATACATATATATAAGCGCATGTTAATAAATCGACATGCCGCTTCAATATTTGCGATAATGTTGTATTTAACGAAAACATGAAATTCTAATATAACATGAAAAGTCACAATGTTTCCTAACAAATACATAATGAATATTTAAAATATATAAATCTATAGGTTAAAATGCATTATATATAATCGTTTTATTTGAGCTGATTAATTTGTAATTACTTAAAAGCAGCTTTTGGTCGACTTAAAAACTCTCGTACATAATCGTTACGCGATATTTTCGACGATTTTGAATCGATATTTATATTTTTTATTTTTTAATGTCGTTAAGGGTAAGTTGTTTATAAATATAAAAAAAAAAACTTTAAGGGCGAGATAATACTTTTGAGTGATTTTAAAAACATAACCTCTTCTTTTTAAATATTAATTATTTTCATTACGTAATATAATTATTAAAAACTAAATGTCCTATGTAGATGATTTGTGAAATAAACCAAAATAAAATATGTTGATGAAAGAAAACGAAAGTATTAAGTAAGGTGTAAAAACGGGATTGGTTACAAAAAGAAGCTAACATATTTGCTATTTTATACATTCGCGCAAATGAACCCTCTTCAGCAAAGGTAAGAAAATCGATATTTTTGTTGAGATGGGTGTGCGACCCCTAATACCTTATTTTATGGGATCCCCGTGTACGAAGGAGCAAAATACATTAATAACAGTCTACGAGACTCGAACTGCCGAGAAGCGTTTAGTAATAATAGTAACACTCCTCTATTAAATTATGTTTCTTTGAAATATGTTAAGGAAGTACCTAAGGAGTACATGTTGGTTATATTGAATGAACTAAAACAATTTAATGTTGAAATGAAAGTTTTAAGCATAATAAATTTGATCAAAATATAAATGTACTTACTATATACATATATTATCTCTAAATATAATAAAATTGTAATCAAGCCGAATCTGTACAATAAGTATTTTTTTGAGGCCGAATCTATACTTTTAGAATTTTTGTCTGTCTGTTACCGCATCACAGAAAAACCACTGGAGGGATTTTCATGAAATTTGGTATGGTGATAGCTGGTTATCCGGGTCAACATATAGGATACTTTTTACCGCGGGAAAATATCTCATTTTTGAGAAAAAATACAAAAACTGCATTGTAAGACTATACTAATGTGTAAAACCTAAGAATTTGGTTTTTGGTCATCTGAACGAGGGCGGAGCCGCGGGCAATGTTAGTGTATATATAAAAAAGGAATTTATGTTAGTCCGTTTGTAGCATAGGATAGGATTACGCTATGAAAGTTTAGTTATTCATTGTGTACTGCGAAGGTTTCTAATTTTATGTTTTGTACTAATAACCTAGTTAATGTAGTATTTTAACGTATCGAATGGTTATAGTTTGAGTTTCTTTCTCTGAATACAGTAAGTAAAAAATGTTATTTACAGAATAACATTGTTTTTAACCGACTTCCAAAAAGGAGGAGGTTCTCAATTCGTTCTGGCAATTAGGCTGGCACCGACTTCGAAAATATCTAATTAGGTATCTATTCTAAATGAAAACCTCCGTTTAGTTATTTTTTTACATTTCAGTGCCTGGAAGTTGGTTTTTATTTATTTATTTTTTTATTGTTTTATTTATAATTAAAAATATATGTTTATAAGTTTGTACCCCATAAGTTTTTCTTCGTTAAGCAAGTCGTACATATTGGCGACATAGAAGAAGGGCAAACTAGTCAAACCGATTACAAGGATACGAATTACTAAGGGTACAACTATCTGAAAAACTTGTGACAGTTATATGTATACTTTTATATTCATTGACGCTTAAATATGAGCTTCATAGAAAATTTAATATATTTAGACAAAAACAGACGCTTTTTTCGGCATAATTCTAGCGAGCTTTCTGATGTATGCAACAAGCATTACGCGTGGGTTGCTAAGCAACGGCTAGCCTGCTAGGGGAATAATATTAAATAATTAAATTAGGAAGAGGGTGAACAAGATCGAGGGTAGGATAGAATGTTAGGTTAGGTTAGTATTAATATTGCAATAATATGTACATAGATACCTATATACTTTATCTATACTAATATAGTAAAGAGGTAAAGAGGTAAAGTTTGTGAATTGTGTGTTTGTGACGTTGTAAGGGGGTAATCTCTGGATCTACTGAACCGATTTAGATGAAATTTGGCAAGAAGATAATTTGAGACCCTGGGAAGGACATTAGATACTTTATATTCCGGAAATCATCCCTTGAGGGGGTAAAGTGGGGATGAAAGTTTGTATGGGGAATCAACCTAGGGACGAATACGAGCGAAGCGAGGGTGAGTCGCTAGTACATAATATATATATATTTACATATAATGAACCTACCCTATATGGCTGATTTTTTAGCTGTATTTTAGAAATCACATTCATGGTTAAAATCATTAAAAACACATTTTTCTTATTTTCAGAACATATTATACAATACTTAGTACATTTTAAATAGGATTGGTGTATGACTTCATGGTTTATTTTCTATTTTATACGGTAAACTTTCTATATATAAAACTATAAGAACATACATACATTAAAAATTATCTAATAGTCATCTATTGAAGAAAACAATAGAAAAACTACGATATTATTTTTTAAATGCGGACAGATCTATTTTTGTTTACAATACAAGCTGCGTGATATGTGCTGCACTTTAACAGCGTTGCTAGGCAACGTGAGGGCCAGCGAGGGGTATTAAATTAGGGTGAGGGTATATTTGGTGTTAGGGGGAACTTTTGTAAGGTGAATGGCCGATGCGTACTTCAAAGTTTTGTGTTTTGTTCAATATCAT